TTAAGACTCCGCAGGGACCCTGCAAAATAACGCAAAATGTTTAAATGTGATGTGAAACATTTGATTCTGTTACTAATAACATGCTAACTTTTTTTCTGCTGTTGAAATGGTGCATGGATCTGTTTTTTTAACCCATAAGTCAACAGGAAAGTTAAACAAAACTGCCTGCTAGATTATCTTTCTAGAGCGACCCACATGAATCTGTCAGGATGACTCCGAATGCATCTCAGTCACTGATCAAATCCTGAATCGACAGCATTACAAGACACGAGAGCCTCCAGTGTGATGTAATAAACTGTCCTCCTCCATAAAGGTCATGTGTATCCAGTAACACACGTATCCTTCATGGTGGTCCTCCTGCATTGGATGCTCGCTCGGATTTGCCGTCCGGGCTTTAATTAAGTTAGCCGGCGTTCAGAGCCATAGATGCACGGCCAACACTTGCTCTTACTGACAGCTCTGACAGTGAACGATCATTCTAGGAAACAGCTTCCACTTATAGCTCAGGAAGAGGACGAGTGGAGACACGAGACGCACTGCGAACGTGACTGATGAGGTCTGAAACACCAGGACGTGGCTGTTAATGTCGTGCAAATAACATTTGCATGTTCAGCCAGAATAAAACATCTACTATGACCACGTCAATGGTGTTCTTTCACCTACTGATTAACTTCAGGTGAAAGCTTAATGTGACTATTTTCAATGTTATAAGGTTCCTTTTACAGCATCGATGTTGTAATGTAATTAAAATAGAATCAATTAAATAGACTTAAGCATTTATTTAGTTGTTCGAGTGTTAAACAAGATGAAGTGCAGTTTATTTATAAACTAATTTCAAGAGGATCACGTGGTTATGATTGATCACAGCCGGTCCTGCATTAGCTTCACATATCACAGCAGTCAGATGAACACTGACTCGCTATACATAACCAGAGTTTTTCATTTCAGTCATCTTCGTCTTGAAGAATCCCCTTCCACCCCTTCTCCTGAAAGGGCAAAACAAAGGCCCAGTGGTTAGCACTGTCGCCTCACAGCAGGATAACGAATCTAAAGTGGCATCACAAGACAAACTCTTTGCCTACTTACACATTTACAAGCAAGGGAGTTCTCGAGACTACCTGAGCTCAAACTCCCCTCTCGCCCTTCAAACGGGAGGGACCCCCCGGACTCAAGGATATTCTGAGCTCAGGGCTTGACTGGAAAATTCAGGTTTAGTCTCGACAAACTAGTCTCTGACTGAATACAGTGCTGTTTATTCCTTAAATAGCATCAAAATCCCTTTAAAAAACTTCAAAAAGCAAACACAAAGATCCAGTGTTCATTTGAAATGGAATGTATATTTTAAAGGTATGAAATTGTCATTCATATCAGCATAAGGAACGATGCCGTCGCATCAACAAAACGTCATTTTCACACAGCAGAAAGCAAACAACAGGCGATCACTGATGCATTCCTGATCAATCAACCGTTACTCAGTTCTGTCACCGTGTGTTTGACTTATGCAAAGCAATATTGATCAGTATACACAGACGGAGGCCATATTGAGGAGACAACATTCAAGATGTTTACGTTTTCAACGCATCAAACATGGCGTCCGCATTGAAATGAATGGCACAATCAGAAAAAAATAAGATGTACTTAACATTCTGACAACCATGAAGCACATACCTTGGTTTGAATATGAAGTTATGCTGTAATAAATATGTTAATTAACAGATTACAGTTTATTTATGGTTGTGCATTGCATTATGGGATGTAAATCTCTGCTCTGTAGACTTTTGATGTTGAAAATTCAACTCTACAGTTTAAAAAAGCGACTATTAGTGACATTTTAGTAGTTTAAAATAATATAATGTATATTAAATAATAGATAGGTGTGTAAAATAACAGATAAAGCACTGGCAGCTTATTACAAAGGGTTTTGTAGAGTAATATACAACACCAACCCAGACCATATATCACTTTAAACTATTAAAAATGTCAATAAAAGTGACTTTTTTAAACTTTTGAAGGTTAGAAGTTGTTGGAAAAACAGATTAAGATCCCAAAATTAAATACAAAAGCATAAAAAATACCCCAAACTGCTAATTTATGCATATTTTTTTACAGCGTGAAACCAAGAATATACTTTAAAAACCACTTGGATCGTCCAGTTAAACAAGCCAACTTCATATCAAAGCAAGAAACCCATCTACAGCAAGTGTACTTAAACCCAACATTCGAATAGGCAAATGAGCGGATACAAAATATATATGTACAAATAAATATAGAACCAAACGCAGGCTTCATGGATTAGAGCAATCCGAGAGAGACTCCCCATGAATGGCTGATGGTGGATTGAGTCTGCAGTTTTTTTTCTCCCAGTTGTGCGACTCTTTAAAATCCCTGCACCGTAACAAAATTGGCTCTCCTGGAAGATATTGATTACGCGTCCAGAGCCGCAAAGAAATGACGGATGAAACTGCGCCGAAATCAAGAGTGGAGGTGGCACTTGTGTTCCGGACAGACCGATAGTGACGCACTGAAGGTTTTTATAGCACATTATGGAGGAGACCGGGGCTGGCCGCACAGATTTCACCTCATATAAATACAGTCTTCGCTATTAAGAATCATGTCAACGTTTACAGCCAGACAATACAGTGTAAAATGAAGGTTTACAGGAAAATAGGATGCAAAATATTCAATTGTGAATTATACAAGCAATGCTGGAATGCAAAAAAAAAAAAACTGATTGACCAAAATAAACTAAATAAATTGAAAACAGCATAGAAATTCAACTCATTTTGCACAGCAGATTGAAACCATCATGTGACAGGACGCCCAAATTTGGCTTTTTTTGAAGGGTGAATATGCTACTAGCATGTTATTTTAATATATTATGTCACAATGGGGAAAAAACAATAGATAGACCAAAATATATTGTATAAATTGATGAAATGAATATAAATTGAGCTCATTTTGGACAGCAGATTGAAATTATCATGTTACAAGTTGCTAAAACTTGGCTTTTTCGGGGGGGATTTGCTACTTGCATGTTGTTTTAATATATTATGTCACATTATGTCACAATGGAGAAAAAAATATATAGATTGACCAAAATAAAGTATATTAATTGAAAAAACAATGTAAAAATTCAGGCCATTTTGGACAGCAGATTAAAATTATCATTGACAGGTTGCCCAAATTTGGCCTTTTGGAAGGTGAACATGATACTTGCATGTAATATTAATATATTATGTTACATTATGTAACAATTGGGTAAAAAATATATATAGTTTGACCAAAATAAATAATGTAAATTGAAGAAACAATACTTATTCACCTCATGTTGGACACTACATTGGAATTATTATTTGACCGGTGGCACAATTTTGGATTTTTTTTCAGGAGGAAATTTGCTATTTGCATGTTATCTTAATATGGTTCACTATGTCACAATAGAGGGAAAACGATAGACTGACAAAAATAAATGATATAAGTTAAAGAAACAGCGTAGAAATTCAGGTTATTTTGCACAGCACATTAAAACTATCATGTGACAGGTTGCCCAAATTTGGCTTTTGTCATTTTTGGAAAATATGCTAGCATGTTATCTGAATATATTATGTCACAATGAGGAAAACCAATAGACTGACCAAAATAAATCAAATAAATTACAGAAACCGAATAGAAATCGAGCTCATTTAGGACAGCAGATTGAAATCATTATGTGACAGGTTGCCCAAATTTGCCTTTTTTTGGAGCGGGAATATGATACTTGCATGTTATTTTGATATATTATGTTACATTGTCTCAGTCCAGAATAAAAAAATGATAAACTGACCAAAACTAATTACATAAATTGAAGAAACAGCATAAAAATTAAGGTAATTTTGGACAGCAGATAGGAATGATCATGTGACAGGTTGTCCAAATTCAGGTTTTTTTGGTTTGTGGAAAATATACTTGCATGTAATCTTAATATATTATGTTCCGTTACGTCACAATGTGGGGGGGGGAGGAGGAGGGTAAATGATAGATTAACCATAATAAATCACATAAATTGAAGAAACAGCGTTGAATTTTATCTAATTTTGGACAGCAGATTGGAATCATCATGTGACAGGTTGCCCAAATTTGGATATGATTTGGAAAATATGCTACTTGCATGTTATCTTAATATAACCTGCAATGTTTTAACTGTTTACTTATCAAGTATTACAATAAAATCATATTACAAGACTCAGTTGGAACATAGAATTCACAAAAATTTGCTTAATTTTAGATTATGCTCCTAAACCCAAGCACAAGCAGTGCATAGAAATACACCCTTGACCCAAAATGACATTTAAAAAAAAAAAAAAAAAAAAAAAGATCTATACCCGTTTCCATTACTCTATCATCATGTAAACCTTCTACATTTACAGTTTTAAATGATAAAATAATTCTGCAAAAAAAAAAAAAAAAAAAAAAAAACGATGCAGAAAAATACAGAATTTGTCCATCATTAAGGCACAGTTCACCCATAAATGAAAACACACTCATTACTTTCTCTCCCTCGAGTGGTTATGAACTGAGTTTCTTTATTCTGCTGAATCAAAATGAAGACAAAGTTGAAAACCACTGACTTCCACACTGAAAAAAACACCAATAAGTTAATATATAGCCGATTAAAATGTCTTATTTTGTGTTCAAGAGAAAAAAACTTATAAATGAGACAGAATTTCAGTTTTGGGTGAACTATCATTTAAAATCGCAGTTATTAAAAGGATAATCACATGATATCTTCCAAATGAAATCAAAAATACTCCACAATCTATTCTATTCTGACCTTAATGTGTGTTTACTGAACACACGTTATAAAAATATCACAAGCATACATAAAAACGAGAAATCCTAAATTAAGACATTTTTCACACAATTAATTGGTTTTTACTAAATTTAAGGTGATTGCAAACTTATATTGGCTGAATTTAAACAAAGTTAACCTTTAAAGAGGAATAGTAAATCCAATTAATTGATTTTTTTCAGTGCATCACGCATAACCAACGCCAGGACACATGACAACGCATGCAAATGGACATCTTCCTGAAATCCTCGATAGCTTGCCCCGGTCTCCCTCCGCCGAAATCTCCACTCATACATGACGCTACCAGAGCAGCGATGTGCTTCAATGCATGAAGAGCGTCTGAGCGCGTCCCAGAGCGCACACTGATGTCAATTACTCGTTGGATAAACTCAATTTCAAGGCAAGTGGTTGCAAACAATTAATCTGGGCTGAATTTAAACAAATCAAGTTGAACATTACGAAATTTAACTCATGTGTTTGAATGCAGCTAATATCAATTGTTTGCAACCACTTACCCTATTCTTTTTTTTTTTGTTTGTTTTTTTTTGTAAATCCAGCTAATCATGTCATTCAGTGCATGACGTTAACCGAGCAGCGATGTGCTTCAATGCAAAAGCGCGTCCCGGAGCGCAAGGTGACACCGCGGCGCGTCCTCCAGCTGCAGCCCGGTCTCCAGCGAGGTTCTCCGGCTCCTACTGCGCGCTCCGCACCATCTTCTGCGCGGACACCACCAGCAACTGCTGCTGCTTCTGCCGGCTCGACTTGACGGCAAGGATCGCCTGCCGGTTTTTGTACTGCACCATCCGCAGCGTGATCTCCGCGTTCCAGCCCTCGTCCTGCAGGCACCTGAAGTCGATCTCGCGGCCCTCGGACATCACCACAGTGAAGTACACATACTTCCCCTTGCGCTCCACGCAGTCCACCGTCTTCATGTTGGCGAAGTGCAGCTCCTTCACCTTGCAGCCGGTGTCGTGCTGCTGCTGGTGTTGGTGCTGATGGTGGTGTTTGTGCGGGTGCAGCACCAGTCCGTCCTCCGTGAGCACGCAACGCTTCTTCTTCCAGAGCTGCAGCAGTCCATCACTGCGCTTCTCCAGCGCGCCCTCCTTCAGCACGCCGGACTCCAGCATGGCCTGCGACCGCGCATCAAACACACACTGGCTGCGGGGGATAGCAGTGGGTGCTGATGGGTGTGTGTGTGCGGACGGACGAACGATCTGATGTCCCGGGTCTGTGATGAGTGGGACGGAGCGCGCGCGGGGGTTTTCTTTCACGCACGGACCGCCCACTGCACACGCGCGCTCAACTCAGCAACATCAGCGCGCGCGCACACACAGAGAGAAACAGAGACGCGCGCACTGACACTCTCTAAATCTCTATCTAACCATCAATCCATCGAACAATCTATTCACCTATCTCTATCTCACACACTGTATAAATTGTATTAGAATTGAATATTTACAAATTATTTAAGAATTTAATAATTTTTTTACACATTTAAGTGAGTTGAACAACATTTAACCAAAAAACTAATACCAAACTAACTGAACTAATAAGTATTGATTCAGTTTATTTTAAATTAGTTTAAACAAGCAGCAAACACCTTTTTAGTGTAAATCACAAGGTGGACAATATTTATTCCCTTCAAGTACACATTTAAATCAAGCAAGTCTATCATGGCTATATTTAGCAAGATTAATGACTAATTAACGAATAAACTAATCGCACACAACTCCATGTCCAAGAATACCCTTTAAAAAAATCACTTCATTATAAAACAAAGTGAAAATGATCATGAGCTCTAACATTTGACACACGATAACCAACTCCACACCGCCGCCTTGTGGAGTCACCTGGAGATTACAAATATTCTATGGCAGGGGGGTACAAGCTCTGGTGTCCTGCAGATTTTAGCTCCAACTTACCTCAACACCTGGAAGGATGTTTCTAGAAAGCCTGGTAAGAGCTTGATTAGCTAGCCCAAGTGTGTCTGATTGGGGTTGGAACTAAACTTTTCAGGACACCGGCCCTCCAGGACTGAGTTTGGACACCCCTAATCTATGGCAGTATTTGCTATTAAACTGTTCATACTTTGATTACACCCCAAGAACCTGTTTGATTAAAACAATTATACCTGCAGTTTGGTCATTTATTCGGGTGCTTTTACCATAATCCAACACAACCATTTAGTAGAGGTTGATATTTTAGAAATTATGGGATGTGTTTGGAAAAAAACAATGCATTGAGTGTTAACTAGCGACATTAGGAGTTAAGAAAAGCAAATAAAATACAATTCTTGGTGGGGCAGCTACGATTGTAAAAAGTCAACAGGTCATGCTATACAAGCAATATCATTAAATTGGTCCTGAATTTTGTGAAATGCAAAGCTTTTTCTTCATTTTTTTGCAATTATAGTAGTTGGAAAAAATGCTTTTTACAACCAAGATAAAATTCAATTAAAATACAAAATTAAAGGAAATTCGGTCAAGTCAAATTAATTTAAAAACTATCCCAGCAGTTGGGTTAGTGCCTATTATACCAAGAATTTAAAGTGTAAAATATAAACCATTAATATCCAATTATCACAGTATACAAACTATTAGATTTTTTCCTGAATTTCATGTAATGCACAAACTTTTTTTTTTTTTGTAACTTGAAAATGCTTATTACGATTAAACCGTATTTTAGTAATACAAATAGCACTTAAACTACAAATAGCCAATAAAAACCTATAGTTCGCGGTTTGTATTTTAAATTTTTCTCTTTTCCCATCTTTCTTGATGGATGTTTATGTGCAAAATGTCAAATCTGTTAAAGGTGCAGCAGGTGATTGTCTTCAGAAATGTTTTTGTTGCACTGGTTAAAAGACTTTTCACATTCCAATAGTGCCGATTAGGGCAAGACAGAATCTGCTGACATTTTTTGCTATTTTTGCAGAGAATTTGGATAAAATAAAATAAATAAATAAATAAATAAACATTTTTGCGTAATGATTTTAGGAGTACAACTAAAAACCTTATAGGAAATAAAAATATACATTTTTTTACTATGCAAATCCAATGAGATCTACTTAATTCGTAAACAAAGCAAGCCTCATATAATATCTACTAAAAGACAATATTATTTTACAAACTGTAATGTAAATAAATCAGCTGAACATTTGAATATTACTATTATATCACAATAATATTAGTGCAATGAATTTAAAACTGAATAAATATGTTCACATACACAAGTAAATACAGACTCGATGGGCTAAATATATGCAGAAACCTGCAGATTTCTAGTAATGATTAAAGTAAATGATCTAAATGCATTTATGTATTTTTATATTCTGGGAGAGGCAAACGACTAAAAATGCTTATCTTAATTGTCCCGCCGGTAACTTCCATATTTCTGATAAGCATACCAAACTGTGTCAGCAAATGTACAGTATGCAGTAGTATTATAAAGTACTATAAAGAGTTTTCTAAGTGACGAGCGCACGTTCATGATTTCAGGAGGTGTGTCTTTGGACGGCAGGGAAGGGACTGTTTTCAAAGCTAACATTTGCATTGACAGATCACCTGCTGCACCTTTAAACAATAAAAATAGTACAGACGCACACACAAAAACAAGACAAAGGCAATGCACATTTTACCAATTTATTTTTCATGAATATACATCCACGTACAGTTATTGAGTACATTAGTATTTTGTAGCATGGCATTTTGCTTTGACAACAGCTGCTGAGGGGGAACCAGAACGACCCCTGCTGCTTCAACCGCTCACCAGACCAACTAATGGACGAGCCGGACTGCCTGCGATACACACGTGCACCGCGCCGGACACACACACACACACACACACAGGACACTGCGGCGCTCGGGGGTTTCTGGGTGAAAATATTGCTCTTTCTGCTTCAGACCTGCTGGGCTGCGCTACGAGAGGGAGAAGAGACCTTCCTCTGAATGCACACACACACTCATACATTAATTCATACACACACACACAAAGTCAGACACACCCCTTCACAGTGATAGGCCTGCCAAACAGAGTCAACAAACATCACTCAGGGCGGAGCTCGGAATCAACCAATCAGGAGCTTGCATTTCAGAGTAGACGAATCACACCGGGTGGAGAGTCAGCAATCAACCAATCAGAAGCTTGCATTCCAGAGTTAAACATCACTCAGGGGCAAAGCTTGAAATCAACCAATAAGGAGATCGAATCAAGTGTTGACATCACTCACGGTGAGAGGATCGCAAATAGACTAATCAGAGGCTTGTATTCCAGAGTAAAACTCTCAGGGTGGAGCTCAGTCAACTAATTAGAAGCGGACATTGTGGTCAAATCGCTTGGACTGAGATCAGAATCATCCAATCAGGAGACTACATTCCTGAGTCTACAAAACTTCAAGGTGGAACAAGCAATCAACCAATCAGGAGCTTCCATTTCAGTGTTGACAAGTCACTCGAGGTGGAGCTCTCAAATCAACCAATCAGAATCTTGCTTTTGAGCTTCACCCTGAGTGACGTTTTACTCTGAGTCAACCAATAATAAGCTCACATTGTCAAATCAATTGAGTGGAGTTTGGAATCAACCAATGTGGAGATTGAATTCCTGAAACAACAACTTTTAAGGTGGAGCATGCAATCAACCAATCACGAGCTTCCATTTCAGCGTTGACAATAATCGCTCAGGTTGGAGCTCAGAGTTAACAAATCAGAAGCTTGCATTGCAGTCAAATCAATTGGGTGCAGCTCGGAATGAACCAATCAGGAGATTGAATTCCGGAGTTGACAACTTCAAGATGAAGCTTGCAATCAACCCATCAGGAGCTAGCTTTCATTTCAAGAGCAGATAAATGTCGCTCAGGGCAAAACTCGCAATTAACCGATAAGAGGTTTACATTCCAACTTACTAAGAGCAAAGTCTGAAATCAGCCAATCAGGAGCTCACATTCCAGAGTAAAACATCACTCAGAAGAGCTCACAATCAGCCAATCAGGAGCTCACATTCTAGAGTAAAACGTCACTCAGAAGAGCTCACAATCAGCCAATCAGGAGCTCACATTCTAGAGTAAAACGTCACTCAGAAGAGCTCACAATCAGCCAATCAGGAGCTCACATTCCACAGTAAAACGTCACTCAGAAGAGCTCACAATAAGCCAATCAGGAGCTCACATTCTTGAGTTAAGCGTCAGCTGGGGCGGAGCTCGAAATTAACCAATCAGGAGCTTACATTCTAAACCTACTCTAATCAAGTGCATGCAGCACCTGAAGACGAATGTAAGCGCTCGTAGGGGAAAAAAAAAAGAAACTACTAATACATGAATACAAAGTGCTCATGGAAAAGAAAGTCATGCAGCGGAGCATCTACTGATGAGGAATGTACAGGTATGAGGAATGTCTGTTGATTCTGACCGCACGTGAGGGTTTAAAACCAACATCGCTGCTTTGATTGCTTTCCTGTAAAGCGGACAGTCTTTCCACAGCTGTTGTCTAAGAGCAATACAAAAAAAGACTTCACGAGAACCCAACTAGTTTAGCAGTGAAGAAACAAGTGTCATGCTTCGAGGGATTTACTGCAGTCTAACTATTTATACAGAGAGAGAGAGGGGGGAAATAATAATAGGGAAACGCAAGAGAAACCGGTCTAGTAAAATACTATGAGCTGCGGCTCCCGATGATAAGGAGGTGCTTTTTCATCTTTTTCTTTTGTAACAAAAATCTCAAAACCCTTTGTATTTTATTTATTCAATTATTTCTACCAAGAAAAATACAAAACATTGTAAGGCGGTAAGTAACTATGTGTTGTTGTTGAAGCCGTTACAGTGTAGGGGGATCCTGAAGGAGCCGGCGCCGCCATCACTGTTGTTTGCACTCCTCTGGGGGATTGGCGTCCTTCTGGTAAACAAAACCACAACAACAAAACAGATTACAGCCAGAACAACAGATCCGGAGTCTTCAGGGCCCTCAGCCAATCAAATCACACGGCCACAAACTGAGGGATGACGGGCCCTATGAGATCTGACACACAAAACGGAACAGGATCCAGACAACGGAATATCACAGAACACTTCAAAAGAAATGGAATGCACATTTAAATAATGATGGGCTAGTGTCTGAACAAAATCGGGGAGGAATGAAGGGAGGGTATAGATTTTCTACAAATAAATAGTTCACACATAATGGTTAATAAAATAAAATTAGATAAACTAGGCCAGTAAAACAAACCTGTTCAAAAAGGTAGGAAAAGGGGAAAGAGATTCAGACTAATAAAACATGGAATGCCACAAACACTTCAAAAGTAAAAGGAATACACATGTATAGTGAGACAAGTATAGTGACATGTATAGTGTTGATATTAGAAAAAAAATAAAAATCTGAATAATAAAAACTCTACAAAATTGATGGTTTAAAACAATTCAGGAAAAATGTATTGCACTGCATTTAACATGAAAGAAAAAAGATTTGTTAAAAGGAAAAAATAAATTACATTTAAAGGGTCCAAATCATTGTACAAGTAATAACAAAAAAAAAAGACAAAAAAAAAAAAAAAACATTGGGTCTTTAAAAAGGAATAAAAAAAAAGAAAGAAAAATTAGAGAAAAAGGCCAGTAAATCAAACCGGCCCACAAATAAATACAATTTCAGAACAAAATACTTCTTAGGGGCCCAAAAATTTGATGAGCTACATTAAAGTCACAGAAACAAAATATAAATATAATTACACATGAAAACAGAATTTAGAAAATACAAAAATTTGAAAAGCTTATTTTATTTTTATTATTCATACTTTGATGACTAAAATAACATTAAAACTATATATATAAAAAAACTTGAATTTAGAAAAACATTTGGAAAAAACATTTACACTTTAATAACTAAAATAAAACTAACACCAAAGAACTCTTAATTTGACAAATTCAGAATTTACTACATCTATACATTACACCTTGATGACTAATAAATGAGCATTCAGAAAGCTTTAATTTGGTAAATATAGAATTACAGTTTTATATTTAGACTTCACATGATAATCAAAAAACACTAAGACAATAAATAAGAGCCTGAATTTTGCAAAAATTTGAACATTTTAGATTTATACTTCACACTTTAATGACTAAAATAAGACTTTAAAATAACATTACAAAACTTAATTTTCAATGACTAAAAATGAATAAATGAGCATTCAGAAACCTTTAATTTGGTAAATATAAAAAAGCACCATTTTATATTTATACTTCACACATAGAAGACCAAAAAACACAAAGACATTAAATAAGAGCCTGAATTTTGCAAAAATTGGATACTTCACACTTCTTAAATCACTAATAGACTTTAAAATGCCATTAGAAAAATTTAATTGACAAATGTGGAATAAACTACATTTATTTATACTTTGTACTGACTAAAATGCACAAATGATCATTTAGAAACTTTTATCTTGGCAGATTTGGCAAAAAACTAGTTTTATATTCATACTTCACACGTTGATGACTAAAATTAGACATTAAAAGTCAGCATTCATAAACCTTTAAGCACAAAATAAATAAGGGAGATTTCATAGGGCCATGTGGACGTCAAAGCAATGATTGACACCAGTTTTAACCAATGGCAGGACAGAACGAGCACTATTCATTTGCATTTCCACAACAGAAAGACTCGAATAAAAAAAAAAAAAAAGTTCATTAAGAGCAAACCGGATGCTTCAACATACAGAAACAATACAGATGCTAATGGCAACAACCCACGATGGTTAAGAGCGTCAAAACAAGCACACGCACAATTAGTGATTAGTGTGGGGATGAGCAGGAATCATGGGAAGGGGTCACATTCAGAGATGAGCTTTACCTACCGGGACAGGGTTACTACAGACACCACTTAAACCTAGTGGAGAAATTTAAAGAGGAACTCACAAGAGTGCTCGAAGACGTAACATGTTAATCATGGTGTTTATAGTGTGGCGCTGTAAGAGAGTCTACATGTGGATTAGTTGATCATGCTGTGAGAATGATGATGATGATGAAGCAGAAATGTGACATGCTGGAGATGAATATGGAGAAATGCAGAGCAGATGAATGAGCAGTGATGCTTTGCTCATTTTCACAGCAGAGTTTGAATAAAGTGGCTTGTTTAGTTTTAGCAAGCCAGAAAAAGAGCCACACGACTGATCTAAAAAATAAACAATAGAAATAGATTGTAGGAAGCAATACTGATTTCTAGCTATCGTTCTATAGCACATAAGCAATAAAGCCAAAGGAAATGTAAAAAATAAATCAGAATAATTTCTTAGCCCATTATTGAATTGGTTTGTGTAAATGTGTGTAAATATATATTTATATTTTAGTAATATTAACTAATATTTTACAGTCTTTTAGTAGACAAATCGATGCGTCTTGCTTTGTTTACCAAACAAAATTGTATTTGCATAGTAACTCTTTAAAAATGCAATTAAAAATAACTGACTTGGGTTTAGCTAGTAAACAAATCTTTCTGCATACATTTGCAAATATATCTGTGTAAAAATAGCAAAAACTTCTCACAGATGCTGTTTGGCCCTGGCAGAGTATTTGTCATGTTTATTGTATTTACTTGCATTGTTTTATGTATTAAGTTCATCATCCAAAGACGACAATGCCTTTATTTATTCATTCATTACAAAAAGTCTGGTTTAAGGTTGATATTTTATTTTGAAAGGTGCTTTAAAAAGTAATAAAATTACACTAAAATTAAGCTTTTAGAAACTAATTTGTTATTTAAGCTGCAAATTAAAACGAGCAGATACACATTTAACTTCACCAAATTACACCAATTACATAAGTTCGAAATAGCTAAATGTATTATTGTAAAAGTTTTAAAAAGCCACCTTGATTAATACATTGTGCAACCTTACACAGTATATTCAAGTTATATACAAGAGTAAATTTAATTATATTTGAATAATTCAACGTTCACAAAAGTATGAGCATGCAAAATTGTTGTAGAGCGCTGCGAAAAGGAGCAGGATTAAACAATGTGATTAGAAACTATTAAAAAAAGCAAGCGATTGGTCCATATTTTTAAGTTCTGTACAGATGTCTTGATCTTTAAATGGTCTCATGCAGCCATGTGGCGCAATTACGCAGCTTAGTTCACCAAGCTTCAACTTCGCAATGCAGTGAACTGTGAAACTTGTCGCATGAGCTTGCGTTTTTGGTCTGTCGCATTCACGTGTGTATGAATAGAAGTGTATAGGGCAGAAAGCCAAGTGTGGCTTAATAAATTACTGTTTTGTTGTTTGATAAAGTCTGTACTGCACTTCGTTACCTTGTACTTGTACATGTGTAATGACAATAAAGTTGAATCTAATCTAAAATAATTACAATATTGATAGTAATTGAATTGCTACAATTCCCCAAGTTATTAATAATTGTTTAAAATTTATTATTTATTTATTGCCACATCAGCAACTTATGGCTATTTTTTGGCAAAATGGATATACAAAATATTACACGAAAAATATAAATAAAAAGTATTACACTAAAAGTGACTTAAATAGAGAATATCCATAGATAAAATTCACAAAAACTTTATGCAAAGTAGAATATGATTTTTCAGTTCAATTTTTGGTAATTTAACTCCTCCTGGTGGTACCTTTTTATATATGTCTAAAGTATTCTCCTAATAAAAATAAATGTCTACATGCTAACAAAATATGTTTTGTGGTGAGAGCAGCCTGGCAGTAATTACATTTAGGTGATTCTTCAGTAAATATAAATGTGTCAACCTAGAATGTCCAATTCGACATCTGGTATAGACCGTCTGATCATGCCTGGTCTTAATTATAATTTGTTAAATGTCTCTTATTTTTGGGTTAATTTCATGTAATTTATTATTTATGCAGTTGTCTTATTTCCTTTGCCATGTTTTATGTACAAATTAAGTCCTCAGGAGGAATTAAACATTCAGTCACATTCAAGGAAAGTAATTAAAGATAGGAAAGTTAAGTGCTTTTGTAAAAGTAATATATATTATAACCTTTTACTAAATGCTTCCTAATTTTATTGAATATATTAAAAACTAAAAATACAATTATAATCACTAAAATATACATTTTTAAATCCTTAAGTACACTATTACAGATCATTAAAATACTCATAAGTGTACACAATTATGTCACTCAAACAAATAATAATAATAATAAAAATGTCACCGAATTACACAATACATATTTGGTAAAATTGTGCAAATTCACTAACAGTACAATAATTCAATATTTGTACTAAATTTTTCATATAAAACATCAAATTGTACAGCAAAGATGCTCAGTAAAGCCAGGGGACAAGCATCCATTATGATTCCCATCCTGACCTTTGACCTGACGGAGTAAGTAGTCAGAGTCCTCAACACGCACAGATTCAGAGAAAAAAAAAAAAAGGCAGAATGAGTGTGAAAAATCAAAAACTGACCTTTGTAGGGCAGTGCGTGTATTAAACACAGCCGCTTCAGAGGAGTTTTAGAGGCGAGAACCCAAAATAAGCACAGAAGTGCATTGTGGTATTTATAAAGCAGGGTTAAAGGTCAGAGCGCTCCTGCACTAACAGATGTTCGCTCCGCAAACACTGCGCTCATTCATCCACTGACTGCAGCAGAGATAGATAATCTTCCACTAATGCGTGTACCAGAGATGGCAGTGCATCCACCTTTGCCCTGCAGCACATGATGTTTTACATCAATTATGGGAGGAATATCCATTAAACTAAACATTCAGCGTCTTAAATGAAGTACTAGCCTGTTTTTGGTGCAATTTGGTGCTGAGATGAACCACTGCCAATACAACACAGAATATTACTATTAAGAGACAGATAGTGTTGTATTCTTATTTTAAAAGTGATCAATAACAGCATTATGCATATTCAATCATTATTATAAACTGTACTGAATATCAGCATGTCTAAAAAAAAAAAAAAGGTGGATACACCAGGAAAGACGGCCATCTGGGCTGTGTATATGTGCGCTTAACTATTTGCACAGCGGTTTACACACTATTGTTGAGAGATGAGTGTGTCTGGATGAGTGGAGGTGACCGTTTGAGTTCTGTATGTTGAGATCTCAGTATCAGACACTTATGAGCAGCTCTAACGGACGTCTGGACTCTTACCTTGGGCTCATAGTCTGGATCGTTCTCCTCATCTGCCTCTTCTTCGCCCTCCTGCAAAACAAACACACATCAGTTGGTTTCATTAAAGGGCTTATGATTTATTAGGCATGCTAGGTTAAATAGGCAAGTCACTGGGAGAACAGTGGTTTGTTCTGCAGCCAATCAAAAAGAAAGACTAATATAAGATTGACCACATAATTTAACGTTATATAGTAGTCACCATTTAGAAGTGGATCATGAGATTTAATCAAAGATGTCCTAAAACATTTGTCAAGCCAGAAATGATCCATACGCTGGCTAATTCTGACTTAGTTTTTGTTTAAATGTAGAGAAAAGCAGAGAAATTGTTTTTCTAGGCACTATGAAGCCTATTGGACATCTCTTTATGATCTTTTTGAAGGAGCCAACGCCATTTCCCACCGTCAAACTTGCGAACAGTACAAATAATTTCAGGCTTGACACTATAATTCATGATTATAGGAATTACTCCAGAAGAAAAAAAAAATTAACAGGGAGATTTAAAGGCAATGTTGGACGTGTGTTAAAAAGGATTCATTTTTATTGCAAGTTTAACTTATTATTAATAGTAAAAAAATTGTAATAAAAAAAAAAAACACAGGATTAAAGAAATGGCATATGTCAATGGAGAAGATCACATACATTGTCAAAAAGAAACAAAGTGTGTTTGAAGATATCTGGAGACCTTTTAATAACTTTCTAAAGTACAATGTAAATGTTGACAGTCTACTACAACTAGAACAAGCTTAGGAATATGGGAAGTATCATGGATTAAACACTCAGTAAACACTCTCTACCTGATTTAAACATCCCCTTTTTTATCATATTTATTTGTTGATTTATTTATATTTTATTTATTTATTTAGTTTTTTTTTTTTTTTTTAAGGGAATGGGTTGTTGGGAGGGAGAATGGGGTAAAAAGTTTGCTGTGCCTTCATGATTATTGTTCTGTAATTGTGTAATCGGTTATGATATGCAAATAGAAAAAAATAAACACCAACCTCATCATCCGCTTCCTCTCCCTCCTCATCATACTGAAAAAGAAAAACAGTGTTCAGATTGAGGAATATTGGGCAACTTTTGGTCATTTGGTTTCTTATTTTTTTTCCATTTAACACCATGCCTACTCCTATGGCCATTTTCATGGAGAGAAAAAGTATATTCTATATACATCTAGATTACATTAAGGCTTTACCACTTTAAAAACTAACACTGTGTTTAGGTTAATCAATATAAACAAAGGGAATACAACTTCACAATTCAATAAGAATTTTTACATGAATACTAGATGATTAACAAATAAGGTAAATTCTTTCCACGTCTGCTATTAAAGTACAAAAATGTACGTCAAAGTGCTCTCAGTATAAACACTGACTAGTCGTCTAGTTAGAGGAATGAACAGTTTTATGTGGTCTTGTTCACTCACGTCATCATCGTCATCTTCGATGGCCTCTCCAGTGAAATACAGCACAGCTCTGGGAACGATACGCTCACGGATGAAGTGACCGATCTCGAAATCTGCTGCTAAAACTGCCTCTGAGTCTTCATCCTGAAACAGCATCAACAAACTTTCACTCCTAATATTACTGTGTGACACTCATTTAATACCATTATATACACCAGCATATCTCGATTTCTGCAAGCTGATGTCACAAAACAAGCAATCAAAGAAATTAATTATACAAGTTCATTTTACGGTCAATTTCACACTAAATTAAGCCCCAAGTCAAAATTAAACAGTTTGTTTTATTGCGCATTTGGATATTAAGTTTAGAAGTAGGAAGATCCACTCACCAGCTCACCGCTTTCTGGAACTGCAAAAAAATTAAATAAATACAGTCAAGTAAGGAAAAACACTCATACGAAAGATTAGCTCTACATTAGTGGAAACATGATTTTTTCATTAGTATTTGCACTGGCTTTAACAACATTCATCCTGAATTACTGACATCCTTATTTTTTATACTTGGAAGCAACTTAAACTTTCAGATTATCTGCAATTTATAAAATCAACTAAATCTACTCATTTTAAAAGCATAAATTAATTAGTGCTGGGGAAAGATTACAACTAATTACACCAAAAAAATTGTGGTTATATATCCATCATGCATGGATTTCTATAAAAATACGTACATTTAATATTACTAAATATAAACAAACATTCATTTAAATATATGCATGCATGTGCATTTAGATATACAGTACACGTACGGTCAAAAAAAAACTTTAGTTTTGGGTGCAATTAATATTTGCCCAGCACTAAAATCAACAACAGCTGTAATAAACAGCACTTATTTACTGCTCTTCTCTAGAGTGTATATTGATTTTATATTACTTTTACATGCATGACACCACACCTCCACAAAATATATATGGTACTATTAGTAAAACATGGCACAGTAATACGAGAACTCACTGTTTTGTGTTAAGTGTAGTGCAAAAAAAAAAATAAGTCTTGAAAGTGCCTACAGCCATTGACATGTATTCTATAAACCAGCTAAAGTCAACAAAAACTAACATCTAATGCTTCACAGATCAAAATCCTCTTGAATCGAGGGTGAGGTAAACGGGTTGTAAATTTTCAACGCATGTAAAATGATGTACCTTCAGGCGGAGAGAAGAAGTTGAAGAATGAATCGTTGGGAACCGTCTTGGTGACCGTCCTCACTGTGCCACGACCCTTGTGCTTCTGTTTCTTCTTGATGGTTTTCAATGTGACGTTCTTGCCTTTAGTCCAGTCGATCGTGCAGCTGAAACCCAAAATCACTCAACTCAGACTCTATACTGAAGAGCTCAGTGAAAACTACTGCCGAGCACTATCTAAATTATTAATATTGAAAATGTGCATGTCGGGATTTACAACCGAGGGCAGAATCACTAGCCCACGGCCCATGAAATTATTATTTATTGAACATTTCAGATTTAGAACTATATACACAAAGCTCTAGATCAAACCAACAGAAGAGTAAATAAAAACCTTAATGGTGCTCAAAATTAGCATTGAAGCATGTCTGATACTCAAAGATCCAATTCCTGTTGCCATTTGTTATTAATGCATGAACAAATTGTTATTATCTCCAAAGCATCCTAGCACTAAAACAGGGAAAGAGCAGAATTCATCTGTACCCCGTGCAGCCCATGATCTCCGGCCCGTCGAAAGAGAAGGGGTCCGACTCGTCCGGCTCAGACCGCATCTTGTAGGTTTTTGTCAGGATTGTTTGTGTGAAGAAATCATTGGGCTCAAAGTGGAACTCTAATGTGAAACTCTACAGAAACAGAACAAAAGGCAACAGTGAGATTAAACCAATAAATCAATCAATAAGCGAATGACTCCGACAGTCAGACTCACCATGGGCTGTCCGGCGTCAGAGAATTTGACTTTAATGTCTTGTAAGTGCTTCAGGATGGGTTCATCGTGTTCCTGAGCAGGAAGAGTAAATGTGTCATTAAAACAAATGCTTAAAATCAATTCAATTCAGCTTTATTTGTATAGCGCTTTTACAATGTAGATTGTGTCAAAGCAGCTTCACATAAATGGTCATAGTAACTGGATCAGGGTGGTTCAGTTTTTAGTGTTTAAGTTCAGTTCAGTTTAGCTCAGTTCTGTGTGGTTCGAAATCATTACGGAGTCCAAACACTGAAGAGCAAATTCATCAATGAGTAGCTTTTCAGATCCTGAACCATGCAAGCCAGTGGCGACAGCGGCGGAATTGGAGAGTGAAGAAAAAAAACCTTGAGAGAAGCAGACTCAGTTCAGCACGAACATTTTAATTTCTCCGCTGGCCAAAAGTCTTGTGCAGAGCTGCAGTCTCAGCAGTGGAGGCTGGAAGCTGGCCTCAGCGAAGACTAGTAATCAGTACTATTAAATGCAACTTTCATCTTTACTTAACACGAGCAGTAATGCTGCTTACAATTTTAGTACACAATGATTTCTAAAAGCCAAATTTAACTATAATGGAGACTCATGATATTAGTTTTAACTTGCTTGTAAATTCCATTTTAGCTGAAGCGTTATCAATTTTGTGCACTTTATTAGCTGCTGCCAATACATTTCCTTATAATATACAGATTATACCTGTATTATTTATTACAGTACATAGAATTCTGTTTTATAGTACAGAAATGCAAGAAAAAAAAAGCTAGTTAAATAAAATCAGGGTTCATACACATTACTAAAACATAAGGTCATGAGAATTTACCAACGTCAGGGGTGTCCACACTCGGTCCAGGAGGGCCAGTGTCCTGGAGAGTTTAGCTCTACCTTAATCAAACACACCCGAACAAGCTTATCAAGCTCTTATTAGGTATACTAGAAATCTTCAGGCAGGTGTGTTGAAGGAAGTTGGAGCTAAGATCAGCAGGAAACCGGCCCTCCAGGACAGACTTTGAACACCCCTGACTTAAGTATATTCTCATGACCGATTGTTTCATGCAATGTCTACATCCGCATGGTTAAAGAAAAACAATGCATGTTCAAATTTGTTACAGCATATGGTAAAACACAGCAATCTATTTAGTTTAAATTTAGATCCATGTAAAATTTAGATGATGCTTACACCGCACTAATAATGTTAGTATGTGATTGGCCAAGGGCAGAATAGAAGTCAAGACACCTAACCTATATTCAAGTAAACAGATATTTGTTTTCCACGACTTTTGCAAAACTTTTCCAGGCCTGGAAAATGCCACGTCAATATTCCATGACTTTACCAGGTTTTTAATGATCGTATAAACCCTGTAAATCAGGGTACCACCAACTGTAGGGCTTGTGTTATCTAATAATCCTCCACTTCCCCACCAGTAGATGGCAGTAAGCACCAGTCCTACACTCTTCACAGCCTCAAATCCCCTGCTGCATGACCTGCTTTCAAACTAGTGACAAACACTCCCTCCAAGCACACAATACCAGCAGAGATCAGAATGGACACTAGCCGCTCCATTTAAGTCTCTTTTAAAAACCCATTTGTTTACATTGGCCTGAGGATTGTTTTTCCATGCATCACTGCAATTATATCTTTTACATAGCGACTACAAAGTAAACTACTCTCAGATGTCTTTTTAAATTAGTATTTTCTATAAGATGCTTTACAGTAGTATATTAGTGCTCATACATTAGACTAGTCAGTACCAAAAGACAACACCAACTAATCTAACAAAAATAAAAAATTGGTTCACCCAAATTAATATGCTGGGGGAAAATAAAATTTAAATAAATTTGCATACAGAAATCAAGTTAAACAAATGCAAAATTCACAAATAAAGTGAAACGAATATGAAATGTAGTTGCAATCTTGTAGTTTGCATTTTATGGTTGCAATAAAACATTTTTATTTAAACAAAAATCCTTATTTTTCTATTCCTAAAGATGTTTAGTGACCAAACTCTTATTGGATATTAATAAGATTAATAAAACTTATATCCAATGCAACAATGTGCATGTTTAACTGCACCAAACATTTGGCTATATTAACAGATATATGTAAAAGTATTTACGTTAAGCACTTCATCTCCCTGTTAATCATGTAGTAAAGCACTTTGGTCAGTCTTGTGGCTGTTTTAAAAGTGCGTTATAAGAGTAAACCTGAAAGTAACTACACTCTCGTCCTACCTGCAACATTTCACTGAGAAGGTCCACGTTCTTGAAAACTGTGAGCCAGAACTCTGGGATGCCTTTGGGATCTTCCTTCTCCTCGTCTTTTTTCTCCTCCTCCACTTTGGCCTTTTCCTTCATTTCCTCCTGAGGGCGATAATCAACCAGAGTCAACAAAGGTAAGACTAGACTTGATTAAACGCTGAAGCTTTTATATCATTATGTGGTATCAGTATTGCTGCATTAGAGATGACACACACACACACACACACACACACATTTAAATTCTTATTGTATACAAATGCATAAACAATACTGAAGAGAAACAAAGAACAATCATTTTGCAATTGAATAAAGTACAACAGGTAACATTACACAAGTCTCATTAACAAACAATGCATTAAAATCAACAGCAATCTTTTCATTGCAGTTACGTTATTGCGATTAATGCTAATTAAACAATTTTAACTCCCATTTAATTAACCACTTACACCTTTTGATTAATGCATTAAGAAAACATCAGCTGATTAAATGCTGAAGCTTTTATCATCAAGGTATCAGTGTTGACCCAAGCCAGGAGATTAACACGAATACTTTGCATACTGCTTTATTGTATATAACAGACAAATGCTACAATAATAATCAATTGCAAAAGGATGAAAGTACAATAGGTAACATTACAATGGTCTAATTAATGCACAGTTAATGCATTAATCAACAGTGAGCATTAATGCAGTTACCATGTTAATGCAAGCAAAACTAATGATTAACACCTTTTTAATGCATTATTAGACATTAAAACAAGAGCTGCTTAAATGCTGAAGCTTTTATCTTTGAGGTATCAGTATTGACCCAAGCAGCAGATCACTGCAACATGTATAATAAAAAATACTTTGTGCAATGCTGTGTATAAACGAATGTTTCAGAATATTCAACTGCAAAAGGATAAGAGCTCAATAGGGTTATAATGGTAATAATGAGGCATTAATCAACAGTGAACCTTTAATTGCAGTAACAATGTTAACGCTACCAAAAAAACAACTTAATTTTAGTTATTAGGAAATATCAGCTGCTTAAATGTTGAAGCCTTTATCATTAAGGTATCAGTATTGACCCAAGCCAAGAGATTATTTTAACGCAAATACTTTGTGTACTGCTTTATTGTATATTATAAACAAACGCTACAATAATAATCAATTACAAAAGGATGATGAAAGTACAATAGGTAACATTGCAATGGTCTACTTAATGCACACTAGTTAATGCATTAATAAACAGTGAGCATTTTATTGCAGTTACCATGTTAATGCTAGCAAAACAAATGGTTTTAATAACCATTTACAATTTGATGTTGATGCATTTAGACATTAAAACATCTGATTAAACGCTGAAGCTTGGTATTGTGGTATCAGTATTAACCTAAGCTGCAGATTTTAACATGTATAATAACAACTTTGTGTAATGCTTATTTGCATACAACTAACAAAATGTTACAATAAACAGTTGCAAAAGGATGATAAAGTACAAGTAAAAGTCATTGCTAATTTAATGCATTAATCAACAGTGAGCTTTTTATTGTAGTTACTAAGTTAATGCTAATTAAAAATACTGAAATTAAATGTTAATTAAATGTTAAATGTCAAAGCCTTATATTACGGGCTTAATAAACAACAGGCCTGTTAAAATTTGCAAATAGACCAAGTCTTACAGCATGAATATTATTAAAGTGAACAATGTGTGTGAATATTATTCAAGGGTACTTAAAGTTTAAATAATTATTCAACTATGTTTAAGTGCCTATGATAATATGCATGTTCTTTATGGTATATTGTATTAATGTATATCAGCACGTCCAGTTAAAACAACAGTTCACCAAAAAAATATAACAAAATTACTCAATTCATGTAATTACAAACATTGAAATATTTAGAATGGCTAAAAACCAATATCCATTGACTTGAACAGTATTTGTTTTTCCTATAGATGTCAGTATTTTTGGGCGAACTGTCCTTTTAAGGCGGTGGCAGTGTTTGTAAAGCATGCAGGTATGGATCACCTGTACCTGCTTACTTACTGTCAGCTCTTCCTCCTCATCCTGCTTCCACTCACACTCTTCATCTGTGGGTTCATACGCCGCTCTCACGATCTCACTCCGCTAAACACAAACACCCATGCTTTAGCCAACTACACAGCAAAAAGGTCACAATATATGACTGCTAAAGCAACTGTTCCCAAGTTAGTTTATGCACAGAACAAACCACAATATGAATCAATATTCCTGCTGAAACGATGCATTTGTTAGATTTAGCTTGAGCAGAGTAAATCTGGTAAAAGCATTATGACCGAGGTGAGAATATAAACAGGTTGTGTTGTTCGTCTCTGGTGTCCTTGATTGAGCACAGGCTTTCAGCAGGTTTGTGTTTGCTGCAGTTGGAAATGCTGAAGCAGCAGGTCAATAGAAGCGGTTTAAATGTACAGCACTGCTCTTCTAGAACAGCAACGCTTTCTCTTCTTCCTCATTATGCATTCAATAACAATTCTCATTGGAATTAATGGAATTTAAATTTACAATTGGCCAAAAATAACCAAATGCAAGCAAACTACACAATTATTAATTACAGATGATAGTTTTCAAACTAAGTGTCACTTCCATAAACTCTCAAAGTAAAAGCATTTATATTTAAAAATGAATGAATAATTACAAGAAATAAAAAGGTTTACTTAAAACAGAAGCATATTTCAGGGGTTTGGCTAAATTTTTCTATAGTTTGACAAATTTTAAATCCTTCCCAAGTTAACTATGAAAATTAATTTGTGGAAAAAAGTATTTAGATTTTTTTTTTTTTCAAAAATGAATGCATTAATAGTAAAAATATTAATAAAATGTTTATCTTAAGGGAACTTTTGTAAAAACTTCCATATTTTAGAAAAGAGATGAGATTTGCCAGGTTAAATCAATGGAAACTGGAATTTCAGATTTAAGAAAACAAATATATATTTAAAAAAATTACATTTTAAAAATGAACGTATAATAGTTAAAAATGAGGAAACTTTGCTAAACTCCCATTTTTTTTTTTTTAAATATTATACATCTTTTCCAAGTTAAAATTATAGAAATTGGAATTGCAGAAAGAAAAAAAGCATTTCAATTTAAAATAAGATGAAGGATTAATAAATAAAAATGAATAATCAAGAAATTACAAATAAAGTATATTTTGAGGGAACTTTCACCTTATTTTAAAACTACAGCTTACAATGATTAAAAAAAAAAGCATTAAGACATAAATTAAATAAATGAAATGATAGTAAAGAAACAATATGAATAAAAAGTATATTTTGAGGAAACTTCGTGAAAATTAGCACATTTTAGAAAAAAGACATATTTTCCTGGTTAAAATAAGATGAATTAAAAGTGATCTATATAACAATAGTAAAAAAAACGTATATTTGGAGGAGACTGTTAAACTTTAATATTATACATTTTCTCCAGGTTAAAATTATATAAAATAGAATTTCAGGAAGAAAAGGGCATTTCAATTCAAAATAAAATGAAAGAAATAAAAATTAATAGTAAAAATATTAATAGCATATTTAGTGGGAACTTATTAAAAATTCTTATTCTAGAAAAACTAAACATCTTTCCCAGATTAAAATGATGGAATTTGAAACTTCAGATGAAAAGCATTAACATTTAAAATAAATAATAGTAAAAAAAAAAAGAATAAGTATATTGAGGTTAAATTCCCATATTTTCCTGATTAAAATGATGGAAACTGGAATTTCATAAATTTAAAAAAAGCATCGATTTAAAATAAAATGAAATAAATTAACAGTAAAAAAAAAAATGAATAAAGTACATTGAGGGAAATTTTGTAAAACCTTCCATATTTCAAAAAAATTATACACAATTTTCCTGGTTAAAATGGTCGAGACTGCATTTAGGAGGAAAACTAAAAGCATGGTTTTCTTTTGGAGGACAGAAACGTGTGGGTCCTCGAAGCTCACCTTGTCGAACAGAGGCTGATAAAGAGCTGCATATTTTCGCTCCAGCTCGTGGACTTCTTCATAGAATTTAGCTTCGATATGGGCACATTTGACCTGGAGGTTCTTAAGTGCATTAACACGTCTTTTCACCACCTTTGGTAAACTGCACAAAAAATGAACAAAATGAGGTCGACAAGCACAAGAATCACACAGATCAGTGACTCAAAAACAGATTAAAGGCTGAATAAATATATATAAAATACAATAAAGACCTGACATTTGAATGCTCAGTGTTTCTGCAGATTTCAGCTCAGTGTCAAATTTAAGACTTTTTAAAACATGAAATTTCAGACTTGAGGGATAAACACTAAAACACTTGGAAAAAGTATTTACTTGCAGTCAACTAATTCAAATAGAGTTATTTCTCATCCATACATTATAAATAGCGTCAAAACAAGCACACACAAGTTTCAAAATCCATAATAAACTCATCAGTTAGTTATAAAAACATGGAAAACAAATGTTACTGGAAGATAATTAAACCATATTGGTAACTAGAGTTCATGAATAAAACTTGCTTGTTTGATTAAGATGTATTGCTCAATTAGTTCAGTCTGAAAATAATTGTGATTGGCTGGATGTGGGTCTAATTTCTGGGAGCATTTTTCATTTTTTAATATGAGAATTTTTCTAACACTATACATGCATGCATCTTAAATGAAAAACTAACATTTATTTATTTCAACTGAAATAATGTTGCAGCCACACTTGAGTATGTGTGTGCGAAACTTAGTCGTACAGCACAGCAAAAAGGAGCAGGATTAAACAAGATGACTAGACACTAAAAAGCAAACAATCTGTCAACATTTTAAATTCTGTACAGAAGTCATGTTTTGATCTTTGACTGGTCTCGCGCAGTCACATGAAGAGATTTCACAGGTCGGAGTTCACCAAGCTTGAACTTTCCAATGCAGTGAACGGTGAAACTAGTCGCACAAGCTTGCGTTTCCAGTCTGCAGCATTCTCATGCACATGAATGGGGCGAAAAGTGCAGTGTAACCGGGGCTTTAGGCACTAAACCTGTATCAATCAGATTCATTTAGCAATTAAACCCAAATTTGGATTGATTTTTTTTCTTCAGCTGGCTACAGAAATAGCGACCAATGCCTTTCCCAATTAACTAACTTGCCTAACTAACCTAAATAACTCTGTTAAGCCTGTAAATGTCACTTTAAGCTGAATACTAGTATCTTACAAAATAACTAGTAACATTATAGCAGAGACGATGGAAATTAGTTACTAGAAACTAGCCATGTTTAAACTCCACTAAACAGCACTGAAACTAACCTAATTGACAGAAGGGCAAACTATTGTTTTTAATAGTTACAGAAAGTACACAAGTGCTTAATGCTTAAGGATCAGTGGTTAAAATACCAAAAATGAACCTAAAGCTTCCTACTAATCTTGCTTGTGCATTCTCTTTTTATTTTGGCTCAAAGCGATCATTCATTTCAGAGCCTGACACAAGAAACAGGATCTGCCCCAAATTAGAAGCCTTTCATTTCAGTCAGTGTTTGCAAAGTAGAGGAATGAATCTGCAGCCAATGAGAATGAGGGGAGCTATTTGAGGTTGCGTGTGGGTGTTTTCACACGTACCTCTCCATGTATCCTGAGGGAGATCCTACGAGTCCATCCAGCCTCTCCTGCAGCGCCGCCAGAATCTGAGGATTCTGCATCATCTGCCGCGTCAGCTGACGTGCTGAAACACAAACAACATTAACTTGTGCTGCATTACGGACCACTTCATTAAACAAGTGTACATAAACACCACCTATATACTATATAACCGCAGGTCAACCATGTTAAAGCTATTAGTAGGCCCACATGAAATCAGATTTTTAGCACAGAGTCCATTTACTTGTGTGTGTACATTTCGATTTAATCAGTTTAATTGCAGTAATATCAGGCTAATATGAAAATCTCCATGTGATTTATTTACAGTACAGTTTGTAAAGTAATATTTGCTGTATTTGAGACTCGAGGATCTAATTGGATTTACAGATGCCAGATTTTTGTTTTTTTTTATGCCATGTCAGCAACCAAGGCTATTTTCATGGCAGGAATCTTTCAACAATAAAAATACAATTTAAAAATCAACAAACAATAAAACAAATTAAATAAGATTTTGTGTTAATACATGTTGAAAATTCTAAAATCTTTTCTGGTTTCACTTTGTTAAAAATGTTACAGATGCCAGATAGTGCGAGATTAGCATGGAGCTACCTCATGTAAACCTAAAGTATTTTTATACACCAAAAGGCTCCAAAATTGGGAATTTCATGACTTTATGGCATCTTCACTTTTGATTAAAATGCTATAAACTCAATAATTGTCAAATATTTAGATTAATTTTACATTTCTAAATCATTTTTAATATATTTAATATTATTATCGTTGTTATTTAAATGCATTACTGTTGTGCTATTGTTAATATGTAAATGCATTACTGTTGTGCTATTGTTAATATGTAAATGCATTACTGTTGTGCTATTGTTAATATTTAAATGCATTACTGTTGTGCTATTGTTATTTAAATGCATTACTGTTGTGCTATTGTTAATATGTAAATACATTACTGTTGTGCTAATTATGTTACAAATAATTACAATAATATCAATAACTCGTCTGCCTGTTCCATTAGGATCAAATACTTCCACAGAATCGGTTAACAGTAATTAATGATTATCATAATTATGAATGTAGATCACTTCTTTACTGGTTTATAAATTTGAGAATTAAAGATAGATCATTCACATTTTAGCCTTCAAGTAAGCATCCTTAATGAGAATAGCAGTTTAGTTTAACACTGATAACAAATGTTTCTTGATCAAATCCTCAGGATGAGGCAGGTAATAAATTAAACTGTATAATGCATTCAATAAGTTGTTTTAAATTGTAATCAGTCCATGATCTTAGTTTACAAATGCATTTATAAAAATTCTGACCTCAAGCTTCCCAGATCTAGAGCATCACCTTCAACAAGGATAAAAAAATGCTGTTTGCATCCAAAAACTAAATAAAAATAAAAGGTAGGTCAACGCAACTATAGCAATCTTTATAGAGCGAGCAGATTAATTAATATTAAACAGGATGGTTCTGTCCAGCTGCTAAACACAGCTGAGGTCACAGAGGGTGCAGACTGATATCGTGTTACCCAACACAGTAAGTGCCAATGCTAACACACGCAACTTCATCATAATAACTGCGACTGTCAGCAGGAGTTGCTCCGTCCATCCATCCATCCAGGTCCCCAATAATAGGATCTTTATGGTTTTATCCATCATATCCAATAGAAAAATCTACATTGTTTTATCCATCCAGCCATGGATGGGATCTACTGTTTTGCACATTACAAAACATCTCATGTTCTTCCCCAGATATATTTTGAGCTCATAAAAGCCATGGACCAAACCAACCAGCTATTATTATCATTTAAATAATATATATTATGCTATTTTGAAAGCATCAAGACGCTGTAAACTGCAGTAAATTATGAAGGAGCTGGGCTTTAGTTTGCTTTGCACACTGCATCTTTGTGATTGTTGAAATTGAGGTAAAGAATCATGGGTAATGTAGCTCAGGATTAATTCCAGTATTTTTTCTTAAATTAAAACTGATAATGAAAAAAATAACTGAATGCAAACAGAAGTGATGGGTTCAACAAATGCATATGCAATCTAACCACAGAGATCAAAACAGGTCTGTCTTTAATAATTTAAAAATCATTGCTTATGGGGTGAAATAAAAATAAAAAAGTCATTATGGAGATTATTATGAGTTTTATTAATAGGAGTTCACCTCCAGAACCTGCTGTACCGGTCAAACTACTCCAGGTAATCTAGTTCTAGCTCATCTTCGTGGTTATGTATTGGTTAACTGCTACATCTTTGCATTTTAGTCAAGCATTAGCAAAATCCAACGTTGGTTTAAGTCACAAATACTACAGCTAAAGAGAAATGCATCCAGAAATTAGCAATCATACCTTTACTGTTGTCTTCCCCAGCGTCTTCCTCCTCCTCTTCAACATCTTCCATATCTGCTGGGTCCATTTCAGCCTGGTCTTTACTGCAAACACACGATCACAGGAGATTAAACATTTACCCAGCAAACTCTGCAGGTGTTAACTGGGTTTCCTCCTCCGTCAACATGACATGTCTTAAAAGGGGTCACGAGGAAACCAGCATTTCCTTCAGCTTTAAAAGTTGAAAGAGCTCGACCAACTCGTGTGCTTTGCCCACAATTATCACGCATTGAAGCTTTTATGCATTGAATGTTAGATGAATGCATGTGCGGATTTTCAGAATTCCAATATATAAGGAATGATTATGCATATCATGGGCAAAATTTAAAGAAATATGGAATATTTAAACATTTAGTGTCTTTGACATTCGGACTGCTGAATGATTGTCACACTCCCAAATACAGCAGTGATTGTTCATCACAATACCAAATGCTGAAACTATTTATTGTCATATGTCAATCTGGTCTACAACATGCTGAGATATTGAATGAAAATACTCTGAATATTCATAGACCTATAATAAGACTCTACTTGTTAACATTAATCAATTAATACTACAAAAGCTTTTGATAAATGTAAAGTGACACTAATTTCTTAATGCATAACTCAAAAGTTTAGCATCAATATTGCAATGTGCACATGGCTGGATCTGCAATGTCAAGTATGATTATTAATTTAACTATTCTGGATTTAAATGTTGTTAAATTAATGTCTTTAGTTTTCATCAGGTCAGTTTAAAGCATTCAGGCACAACAACAGCTTTTGTTGCTTCAACAAACTATTCAATAATTTTTATAGTGAGGGTGTCATTTTACATCAGATTTTTTACATTAGTTTAAAGTAAGGGCCGATGTACTAGATCAAATCGCGATAAAATGTGTCAGTAACAATAAGCTCTGCACTTTTTTACTCTATATTATAGACCTATATATCTATATATAGACCTAAGAGGCAATCACACAGCAGAAATGTGCAACAATGAGAATCTTAAGTGTTGATATTAGAGATGTACCAAATTTTTAGCCCCCGAAAGCCTGTCGGCTGAAAATATGTTATGCCATTTAATGGAGCCTGTAATTGCAGTGGCTTCAGTTATTGTTGGGGTACTCTTCTAAATCTGGAACCATTAACAACTCGTCTAGAAATATATATTGTTATAGTTCAAAATGGAAATCACTCCACTCATTACTGCACTCCACTTCAAAATTACCCCAAACATTTTGAAATGCTGAATCCTTTACAAAAATCCAAGTCATCTGCAGAAACGTATCTGCAATGTATAAATCACTAAAAATTATGTAATGTCAATTTTTACAACATTGTGCAGGTATAGTTAATAGCAAAAGATTGCATTGAACTTACTAAAGAGGGTTATTTCTCATAACTGATTAATGCATTAACACATACTTGTAGTGTTAGCTTTTTTTTTTTTACAATAAAATCCATTTGAAATTTAATAAAACCTTTTAACTCTCAACAAAGCAAACAAATTCATGTTTTATTGCCATATTAGCAGCATTGGCTATATTCAAGGAAACACTGGTTGCCAGTATAATAAAAGTGACCAACATATACAAGTACAATCAAGAATCTTAATCATGCATTATACAAAATATACAAAATAACACTGATCAAAAAAACATACAAGACTTCAATTTGATCAATGATATTCTAAAATTACTCCCCTTTATAACATTGCAATAAAGCAACTTTTTGTTTGTCATTATACCTGCTTTAAATACATTGCAAAAAAAGTATGATGTGATAAGATTCAGCAATTAATTACAACACAATCCTATGGATAAGCACTGAATTTGTGAACCCCCTCCATTTATCATACTTTGTGCCACATAAAAACGCAGGTGCTTGTGAATCTGCATGATATCAACTGATCTTCAGTGACAGGAAGTTCCTGTGGTGTGCAACAGGTGTATTTCTCATGTCAGAGAAGTGCAGAGTGACTGAACCCCAAACTGCAAGGTGGCAAGCATGTGTTTGGCATTGCAAAGATGCTTGGGATACTACAGCGAGTATGAAAGCATGAAGACACATTGCTGGTCCAACACATGCGGTCACACGATGATGGCTAAACAAAAATCAGCCGAGCGCGGTGCAAGATAATGTTGTCACAGTACTGGAATTTCTGACATCCATACAACACCAAGAAAGATGTCGATAGTAGATACCATTTTCAATATTGAGCAGACCACGCCAAATATTCCAGTATCAATACTTAAGTATTATTTTTGACATCCTTAGTGCGACTAGTGCTTTGTTTTTACATTTAGATTAATGCTAGATAAGCTTTACACATTAGATGCACTAAACCAACCAAACATAATAGAAGATCTTTGAATTTCAATAATATTCAATATATATTTATGTAAAAAAGTGAGAAAAACAAACACAGAAATAAGTAAACTGGAGTATAAACTTAAATTTTTTTTACAAATTAAAAAGGCACACAAGCACTCACTTGTCAAGATCTGCCATGTTGTTTCACCGTTTGTGTTGTTTCCTACAGGGAAAACACAGAAAGGAAAATGTTAATGTTGTTCATTATATTCAGCAGCCTCCAGCCAAATCCGGTCACCAATGGCCTTATCAGTCAGGTGACGGTTCAGTGTTTCAGACAGAAAATATATGCACAGCTTTAACTGTTTAGATACACTCGCTAACAGCATAAATGGAGACCGGTGTCAAACAGTCAATTAAACTTGTGGATTAAATGCATATTTCACCCAAAAATGCATTTACTCTCCCTTTAAATCTTTGACTTTCTCCTGTTAGACTGAAAAAAAAAAAAAAAAACATTTAAAAGTAGCTTAAAACAGTAACCATTAACTTCCATGGTAGGAAAAACTAATGCCAACCAAGCTTTCTTCAAAATGTCATGCTCCAGAAAAGAACAATGATTTAAATCAAGGCCGAGTAAATTATTAATGTTTTATGTGAACTTGTCTGTGTTTCTCAACCATGTTCCTGGAGGACCACCAACACTGATGTCTCCTTTAGATGTCTCCTTTAGATGCAACACCTATTACAGGTGTTTCAGTCTCCACTAATGAGCTGATGACCTGAACCAGGCGTGTTTGGTTAAGGAGACATGGGAAATGTGCGGAGTTGATGGTTCTCCAGGAACGTGGTTGAGAAACACTGTCTTAGAAGCTGCTCACAACTACTCAGTCACTGATGGTCTTATCAGTCAGGTGACGGTTCAGTGTTTCAGTCAGAAAATATAAAGCAGTTTTAACTGTTGAGAAGCACATGCTAACAAGGTAACATGCAGATCGAATGTTAGAATCAAATGTGTGGGATAAATTCCAGCCCAAAATGAAGTTTACTTAAAATTTACTCACTCAAGTGGCTTCTAAACTATTGAGTTTTTCAAAGTCGAACAAAAAGTGCTCAGGGGTAGCTTAAATAATGTGTTGATGCTCTTTGGGTAAAGAATTCATCAAAATAAACTACAAAAATCAGTCCAAGGCACTGAAAAAATGTGGAAAGTATTAAAAAGTCTGACATGTTTATACCTTAAAAATGTGACTATGCAATTCGGCAAACACATGCCTTTATCAAGTTAACAATGATCCAGAACAGTCGTGTCAATAAAAGAATTGTAATATTATTTCCACATATTCCAAACACCTTGGACTGATTTTTGCTGTCCATAGAGTTTTCTTCTTTTATTAAACACTAAAAAAATATACTTAAGAAACCTGAAAACCTGTAACCATTGACTTACATAGGAGGGAAAAATATCATGCAAGTCAATTTTATAGCTAAGCTTTCGTCAGAATATCATGTTTAACAAAACTCAATGGTTTAAATCAAGGGTGAGTAGACATTTTTGGGTGAAGTAGATCTTTAAAATGGTTTTAGAATTGCTCAATTATTTTCTTTAATATATCGGTCACAAATTGTGGAATAGCCCAATCTGAATAAAAAAAAAAAAAAAAAAAAAAGTTATTGACCGATTACCTTTTAGCAAACTGGTTAATGTCTAGACAACTGATGCAAACTTATTGAAACACATGCAGCCATATTTGTGTTAGAAAACAAGCAGAAAACCAACCCCTAGGGTTTATGGGATAGATTAGCTACAAACAAAGGTGTGAACCCCGTATCTCCAGCTCTGCATCGGTCTGCATTCATTTGCAGAGGCCTGACCTGCATACAAGCAGATCCAACACCTCCAAGTTTGAGTCTGTGAAGCAGAGACGGATCAAAACGAGCCTCACGCGCCCACGATCAGACCTCCAGCGGAAAATACTGAGCACATTCATTCATTCAAGAACTGACGGCCAGACTCTGAAGATGATCAATATCATGAAGACCTGACGCCTTTCTTGACAAATCTGAAGGTTAATCTCTTCCTGCGTCAAAAAGATCAGACAGTTGAAGCCTGTCAGTACACACTAGCGCTGTATGATGCTTAAGGAAAATTTGATGTGGTAGCATTACATTAAATCGATTATCTTTTGCAAACAAATGCAATATGTATAACTGTCACACTTGCAATATTTCACAATTTTACCAAACCCAAACAACGCACATAAATTTCCCAAACCATGGCAGCGATGGATCACATTTCCCAAACAAGACGTCACAATACCAGGACAAAGTTCCTGGCACATTTCCACCAGACTGATAACCATTCTCCAGCAGTGAAAGCTGTCGGCAAGCCTTTAAACCTTATAAAAGTCCTCAGGAACAAAGGTTCAGTGCACTTAGAAATACCCACCAACCTTATAGCCAACACAGTGCCATAATCCACCAGTCGGTTATGACTTTTAATAAGAAAACTAAAGCAATGTCAAGCCTAAAATGTAGACAAGATGTACAAGAAATCTCCTACAAGGAAACATTTCCCAGCTCTAAAAATTCTATGTAATTTTATTTTACCACTAACCCATGCTGAAAAGGAATCCATGCAAAGCACAGCTGACAATAAGATTATCATAATTTTAACTCTTTGAACTCAAATAACTACTTATTTCACTGAAAAAACCTTCATGACCATTAAATAAAATTAAGTACTATTTGACATATATGGTTTAATATATTAATAATATATTTTAGATACACTTCTGTGTCCATTAAATATATAATTAGCTTATATATATATATATATATATATATATATATATATATATAAACTTCAGAATGCATGCATTGTAGATAGATAATCAAAGAATAGGCAGAAATACGCAAACTTGAATGCATTAAATAAGCAAATCCACTGATGTTTGCACTATTATACTCAACTTGAGAGATCTGGCAACCCACCAGCTCAATCTTATCCTGATGTGACGAATTAGGCATCAGACTAACCAACTGTGCCCCAAAATTACCATTTAAACCAGTTGTTAAACTACGAAACTAGGTTAATGATGTTGGATGTGATCCACGGGTCAGTGCAGTGGTCACTTCCCACCAGGCCACATCACCACGTGTTTCCTCCACAGACCCACCGGCTAAAACAGCTAGCAACACACCATCCTAATAATAACCAACGCTAGCTAACTAGTCTCAACTAGGAGAACACTGGTGAACTAACCAAACCAATACTTCAGATTAAAGATTATTAGAAAAAAAAAGTAAAGCACAATGTAGTTTAAACTGGTTTACTTGTGTGATTTACACCTCAATTTATGCTCGAACACGCGTTACATTAATACATCGGCATCACTTTATCACTAAAACAGGCAAAATAGTCAAACAAACCGGTTATATTAGCATTTTCCTGACAACGTGATCAGACAAACCCCCCCTCCCTCCCTCCCTCCCCAAAAAAACTTACCCGCCAGATCAGACCAACTATCACCACCATCATCCTCCCAACACAAGGAAATACGACAAACATTTAAAACAATCAAATCTAGTCCAAAAGACACGATTAAACATTAAAAACGCAGTATAAATATCTCGTCTAACGGATGAACACAATTTAGTCGATATTTAAAAGACGAACAGCCATTTTCATCTCCATCATGGAGGAGTCTGTCTCAATGGCTGCTAACTGAACGATTAGCTCGCCAGCTAAACATCACGCTCGTTGACCGTTAAATGTCATTTTAAATCCCGCTTTATCGTGCGTAAAGAATAACCGGAGGTTTATGGAGTGTCTGTGCTGGATGTGCTCTTACCGAGAGCCCGATGTGTGGATGTCTATGAGGCGGCGGTGAAACAGCGAGACTCCCGCTCTGATGGCGCTAAAAGGGAATAAGATCCCGCCGCGTGCGCTCATATACATCTGGCGTCAGCACGTAACGCGGCTCGCGCTTCCACCAATCCTACTACAGCGAGGGCTTGACTCATGAATATTAATGACGCGATCACAAAGCGCTGTTTTTATTGGTTGACAGACCCACGTCTGCACGCCAGCGCCTCAAAACTGGCTCATTAATATTCAAGAGGATGGGTTTGGCCGTAGTAGGATTTGGAATTTGCAAGGGAGGGGCGGCCGGAAATGGTTCAGGGGGAATGCCATTGTTCCAGAGTGGGTGGGCAGGGGTGGAGGTTCCCGCCAAAGCGTCAAATATATTTTGAAAAGATTATATTTGTATTTATAGATGAAACATCCATCCATCCATCCATCCATCCATCCATCCATCCATCCATCCATCCATCCATCCATCCATCCATCCATCCATCCATCCATCCATCCATCCATCCATCCATCCATCCATCCATCCATCTATCTATCTATCTATCTATCTATCTATCTATCTATCTATCTATCTATCTATCTATCTATCTATCTATCTATCTATCTATCTATCTATCTATCTATCTGTCTATCTATCTGTCTGTCTGTCTGTCTATCTATCTGTCTATCTATCTGTCTGTCTTAGATCAAAATAATTTATATCAAGTATTTATGTATTTATTAAATTAATAATTATTAACAGTAACTTACAAAAAAGTATAAACTATCTATCTATCTGGATCCTGTTATAATAATGTGACTTTTTAGCGTGAAATCATTTATATTAAGCATTTATTTATTTATTAAAAATAACTTGCAAATAAGTATAACATACCTATCTATCTGTCTGTCTGTCTGTCTATCTGTCTGTCTATCTATCAAACTGCTAGTATGATGTGCACAAATGACGACTTGTACTGAGAAATGCATGAACTGTTGTGCAAATGTGAATAGTGTTGTGAGAAATGCACTAAAGCGACTGAGGAAAAACTGTATTATTATTACATATTGTTGTTGTTATCATTAAAAAAAGCAATGACAAAAAGATAGATACCAAAATCATCGTGTTTAAGTGTGTGTATGTGTGTGGTCGTCAAATAGACACTGTTTATTTGCATTTAATATGTTCTCTGTGTGTTAAAACAGTGGTTCTCAAAGTGGGGGTCGGGACCCCCTGGGGGGTCGCGGGACAATGACAAGGGGTCGCTTGGTGATATTCAAAACTCAAATAAATTTTATTAAACTATCAGAATTACCATATTTTATTCATAACCGACAGAATATAGTTAATAGTTGCATTAAAGAAACAACAACGTAAAAAAAACAATCAGCCATCAGCCTTTAATTTTAAAAGCAAAATGTAATTAAATCCATAAATGACTTTAAAAAACATTATATGGCTAATAGACTGTTGCATTTTTGTGTTGTCAATAAGCTCATGTTTATATTTGCCTATAGTTGTGTCTGCAACGTTTACATATTTACACCACCTTGAAAAATGGGGGTCGCGAGCCACTGATATGATTATTTTTGGGGTCGCGGGCTGAAAAGTTTGGGAACCCCTGTGTTAAAACACTGTTTGTGTATTATCTGCCTCTGCATGTGGTCTTTCTTTTCTTAATAAAACACTTTATCCTCTGTATGTTTACAAGACAAATAGTTGAAACTGATTCTGTAAAAGTTTAATTTGGTGCGGTGTGGAGTGCTAAAGCATTCCTGGACACTATCAAAATGTGTACGAATAGGAAGAATCAGGCATGCCAGAAACCTGCCGCAAAAACGACTCCGCTTACAACTCACTACACACACACACTAAATGCAAGCAAAAAAACTCTGGCTCTTTTGAAACAGCAGTGTGTTAAAGAGTTTCTATTGAACCTGTAACCTCTGACTTGACCTCAGTGATCTCCGACACTCGCCTATTGTTGTTCCCTTTATAAAAGGCACTGAAATCGAAAAAAAGTAGTGGAGTAAAAAACAAAAGGAGTCAAAACAAAAGCAGACAATGGAAAAACTATTCAGTATTTTGAGTTTATAACAGCCTCCAAATGAAAAAGCTCAATAAAAAACACAATAGGAGACGATTCACAATAATGTAATGTTATTTAATAGCATTTAACCTGTGAAGAGATGATGCAGAGGTCTCCATAATATGCACATTAACAGTGATTTAAATACTTTAATGTTATAGAGTATAATACATTATAGTATGATTTGAAAACACTCTAAATTACTACAGTATTTTTCACTGTGGGTGTGTAAGAAACAGTTTAAATGGTGCAAGAAGCAGAACAATGATGCATTTTCCAATTATGCATCTTTAAATATGCATAAGGCACTGAAAATCCTTCTATTTTTGAACGCGATACCTCTGCCTTTGTGCATATTAGTCATGATTATATGCAATTACACATGTTATTAAAAGATTTGATCCCTCTCTCTTCGGATTGAGATCATTTCGAAGCTGCAATATTCAGACAGCCGTCTTTGACTCCATCATAATCTCAAAGATTCATCTCATTTGCATATCATGAGCTGATTAAAAGGCCAGCGAGATGCGCTACATAAATAAAGCAACACTATAAAATGACTAAATAAATAAGTGTGCACTGACTTCAGCTGTGTTTTAAAGTCACACAGTGTGTCCTTTATGTCAATTAGAGACTGTTATAAACTTCATTCATTCACTTTCCTTCAGCTTAGTTCATTATTTATCAGCGGTCGCCACAGTGGAATGAACCACCAGCTATTCCAGCATTTGTTTTGCACTTACAGCTGCATCCCAGTACTGGGAAATACCCATACACACTCATTCACACACATGGCGGTGCTCAGTGTTTGAGTGAGTAAATGCTGGCAGAAATAAACGAGCTCTTCTTGAATATTACAGCTAATAGTGTGTGTGTGTGTGTTTGTGTGTGTGTGTCACCCTCTGTAATGATGCTGAGACTTCAAGCTGCTCAGTTTCCTGCTGACAGTAAGAGGAGCTGACATATAGATGACCACAGTACTGAAAGATTAATGCAGTCACAGAGACACAGTTAACCCTTCACTGACAGAAACAGGTAGAAAACACCTGATCAGAGTCAACAGACTGCAGACATGTGAGCTGATGACGCCTTCAGGTCAATCATTGCACACAATGATCATTTAGAAATACAGAAGGGGACACAGATCGAACAAATATACAATCAATTAAAAATGTTGTTAAAAACAAAAATAATAAAGACTAAATGTGATCTAAAAAATAAAGGATCTTCTGTCTTTTAATTGCAACTGTGTAACTGTATAAAAATGATAAATATATAATTGAACGTATATGAATAAATGAATGTATTACGGTTACTACTTTGTCTTCAGAAAATGTGCTGCTGTTGGTGAATGAATGAAGGAATAAATAAATAAACAAACAAACAAACAATAAATGAATACATAAATAAATAAATGCATACAGACATGCATGCATACATAAATAAATAAATATGTGAACGAATAATCAAATGAATAAATAAATATATGAATGAATACATAAATACATGCATACTTAAATAAATAAATACATGAATAAAAAACACACATACATACATACATGCATACATACATACATACATACATACATACATACATACATACATACATACATAAATAAATAAATAAAAATAAATAAGTACGTGAATGAATAAATACATACATACATACATACATAAAAATAAATAAATAAGTGAATGAATAAATAAATACATACAAACATACATACATACATGCATAAATAAATGCACAAATAAATAAATAAATGCATACATAAACAAACAAACAAACAAACAAACAAACAAACAAATAAATAAATAAATGCACAAATAAATAAATACATACATGAATAAATAAATAAATAAATGCATACATACATAAGACCCTACATACATAAATACATGCATAAATAAATGCACAAATACATGAATAAATATTAAACAAATAAAAGACAAATAAAACAATGCATACATACATACATACATACATAAATAAATAAATAAATAAATAAATAAATGCATACATATATACACAAACAAATAAATAAATGTATACATAAATAAATGAATGCATGCATACATATATACATAAACAAATATATAAAAACATACATAAATAAAAGCATTTATACATAAA